TTCCACATGGTAAAGAAACTTTTAATACCCAAAGAATCTGTCTAGTTGTCAAATTCTCTTTTAGTATGGCTGCAATATTATGTTCCATTCAAGAAGCTGAAGACCCACCCCCTCCTAGGAAAATGAAATATTCTAGGAAATATGAAAAAGGCAGAATATCCTCCCTGGATGAGAAATGGTGAAACATGTTTTTATAGGCAGGAAGCAGATTCACTCTTAATAGCTCCCACCCTCCTCAATTGCTCACAGGTTGCATGCACACATGCACCCACACATATATATCCCTCAATGGACATTTCTTCCAACACTATTATTTATCATTCTTATTTCCTTTACTTCCCCTTGTATTGGATTATTTATTACTACTACTATTATTATTTTCTGTTCATGTACACTGAGTGCTTTTGCACCAGAGATCAATTGCAAAGATCTTGCCTCTCCAAATCTTTGCAAGAAAGCAGGATTCTTGAAACTGAAGTTATTCCAAAAGGAGCTTTTATTGAAAGGCTTGTGATAGGAAGATGTCTAGGCAGGAACTAAACCTTCCCACTTAGAACAGGAATTTAAAGCAGTGCAAACAAAATCCCCCCCACAGTACAGCAATGCAGGAAACAGAAACTTAACATAGAGATCCCTCCAATCCTCCCCCCTCCCACCAGAATGCCAGCGTCCCAATAGAAATATATGGGACCTGACACAGACCCTCTCCTTCTGTGAAAAACATCCTAGCTAACTTAACTATAACGACCCAAGGAGACGTAGAAGATTCTAACTAATTTATTTGCAACAGGAAGATTGCTTGTGGGCAATGGCTCTCTCTCTACTTCTCCGGAGGGCTTCCGCAGCACCGGTTAACTTGCCGGCCGTCTTGTCTCTTGCACACAATGCACTGCCCCGCCTTTCATGCCAGCTGTTCTCACTTTGGAAATCTAGCTCTTCTTCCACAATCATCTTTTGCCTTGTCCCGCATTTTGCCGCTGCCGCCGCCCTTAGGAGATGCAACGCATCCGCCTCCGTGCCCGAGATATTAGAAGTGAAAGCGTTTGCTCTGTTCTCGGCTTCTCCAACTAAGAAACGAAACCTTTCGATTACAGGTAGCTGTCAGGAAGCCTCTGGGCTCCTCCCAAAATACCGGCCGCTTCCTGGAAGGCTCAGTGCCGCTCAAGCCGCCCTGGGGGCTGTCCGGTCTCTCTTCCAGGCGCTCCAAGGCTTGTCACGTAGAAGCGAGAGAAAGCAGGGCGTTTCCCCTCGGAAGCTGCTCTTCTCCGGAGAGAAGTTGCGGACCCTCCTGCTGGGGTCGCCGGGCAAGCGGAAAAGCCTCCCCAAGAGCTGCTCCTTCCCGGGAACCTGCGCGATCGCCGCTCCTCTTGCTTCGGGTCTCGGCTAACGGTAAGGATCGGGGAATGAGGGTGGCAGTCTAGCCGTCCCTTCGCGGAGCATTGGCTTGTACCCCTGGCGCTGGGGAAAGGCTTCGGTCTCCCGCCCCCTGGCTTTGTGCGGGTCTTTGGGAAGGTCCGTTCAACCGTTCCGCTCCTGGCTTTGTGCAGCCGCTGCCGCCTTCGTCCGTGGGTTGGCAGCGGCTCCGAACGCTTAGCTCCTCACCCGGGCGGCTCACTCACTCGCAAAACCTCCCGAGAAGAAGGTATTCGGGCACACCTTTTCCTCCTTCCCAGCCTTCGCCGCAACTTGTATTCGCAGCCTCGTCACTTGAAGAATTGACACTGTCGAGATGAGGTTTGCTTCACGTGAATAACTTTCGTGAGAATCGTGCTGACTACTACCAGTCCCGGCATTGTGTTCAAGTTGGTTACAGACGTCCTGCTTTAATACATCTCCTCTGACATTTCTCTCGGTAATAATTCCGGGGTCTTTTTGTCCTTTCTTGACGAGTGGGAAGGAAGGGGGGGCACCTTTGCATCTCCCCAATCCTGCAGTTCCCCAGAGAAGTCCTGAGAGCTCTTCAGCCAGTTCCTTCGGTATTCTGGGGATTATTTCATCAGAGCCTGGAGATTGAAAGCATTCAAATTAGCTTGAAGATCCCTTTAGCACACTGTTTCTCAACCTTGGCTACTTGAAGATGTCTGGACTTCAACTCCCAGAATTCCCCAGCCAGCATTCGCTG